AGGAAGGAAGATTGGCTCTAATTTAACACCATCCTAGGAGCTCTGAAAAGTTCCAGGCTGACTGATGGACACATTTGCTCCTTAGAATGCTTTTTATAAATACCCACCACTTAACATGCACTTTGAAGAGACATAAATACTGTCACTGTGTGTCAGCCTAATGGAAGGGCGATTTCTACAGTCACTTGTTTTCTCCATGGAGCAGACCACATGATCACAATCCTATTAATGCTGTACCCTGAGAAGGCAGCAGTCAAACCCAGCCCACCAGGGAGAAGCTTAAGGCTTTGTCAACCTCTGCACAGAGATGCCAGTTTCCTTCCTTTGCTTCGGGGAAGATGGCAGCTCATCTCTCCTAATAAGGTCTACATTTGAGACTGGTGGGGATCGAAGATGTCTTTTGTCAACAGCTCTGGCCAAACAAATAAAATAACTCTATAACAACGTTCAGTGATGGAAAGAGAATGTTTCCTGGGGCTGTTTGGATCACATCTTATTTAAAACGGGTCTGTGAGTGGTATTTTCTCCTTGTTCTCAGTGGAACTGAATGGGCTTGAAGGCAGGTGGGGTGTCCCTCTGGAGGACGGCTGGCTCCTCATGAGGGACAATGCTAGGGTGGCATCGCTTTCCATGCGGACCGGACAACAGCGGTCAGCTTTGCCTTTCTTTCCTCTCAGATGCCAGGTCACTGGCTACAACGTGATGAAAATCTATGCTGGAACCTCATCCTGGTGCGCCCAGGGCTATCAAAGAAGGAGAAACCAAACAGGCTCTCAGGTAGACCCTGTCCCTCGGAAGAGAGAGGGCTCCAGCACCCGTCCCACCAGATCTACCCTCACAGCTGTACGCTGCTGAGAACTGGAGTACCCAATGAGACAACACCCAAGGAGAGGCTCCAGAAACTCTTATGGGGCAAGTAAATTGGAGTAGTAGCATTATTCTCCCATTTCAAAGCCAAAGCACAATTACTTTTGGAAATACATACACATTCTTGTAAAATTACCTTGGTAGCATAACACATTGTTTACCAAAATTTATAGAAAAATACTATCCAACAGTCTTCAAAGGTATATAAATAAATGAGTATAAGCCTCCAACCAACGCTTAACGTTGGTGGTCAGCACGCTGTAGTGTAGACAGATATGGAATTATAATGTCGTACACCTGAAACTTATATAATGCTATTAACCAATGTTACCCTCAATAAAAACAATAACAGAACATTTCTGGATACACGCACTCTATTTACAGTGATACTGACTATATTTCTACATCTGTCCTGCCTTTACACATTCTCACAGCTCGCCAGGCTTCTGCTTCATGGCAGTTAACCCAGTTTATAATTTGACACTATGTGTGTGTGTGTGTGTGTGTGGTTAATTCTGCCTTTGTTAATAATCTGTCTCATGATACCTGTGGGCCGCATGCGGGTTAAAACTGTCATTTTGGCTCAGCATTCTAATTGCTGGGACACTGAAGAATTTGTAGACGGAAGACAGGGGCGAAGTAAGGAGGACAATGAGCCAGGCACAGTTCTGGGTACCAGGGACACATGGTCCAATCGCTGTGGAAGTGCTCACAGCCCAGCAGAGGAGGTAATTCCAGGAAAGCTGGGAAAGGGCATATCTGGCGAGGTGCCCACCGGGGCTACGGGAAGGCAGCTGTTCTAGGAAGTCCAGCTTTAGAGGCAGCTCTGGCCAGAGGCAGGACTGCAGGGAGGCACGGACATGCAGATGAGAATGTCACTGGGCAGGAGGCCAGGCTCAGAGATGACACTCTTGAGTGGAAAGAGCAGACAGCTCTCACTTCCAGAAGACACCGCCTACCCCATCCAAGGAACTTTCACCCCAAAACCCATCACTGTGAACCTAAGATTTCCCTGGAGCCTATATCCCCAGGTTCACACTAGAAACAGAATGACTTTCTATTCCTAGTTCCTAGACTGGCGCTGAGGGTTTGTGTGCACGTGAGCGACAATGATGAAAGAATCAGGAATCCACTGTGGCTTGTTAAGCACCACCACACAGAACTGCACGGCTAAAACATCAGGGCAGGAGCTGCCATCCTGAGGCCTGCCTTGCAAAATGGGATTTGTCTGTCTTCGCCAGGGAACTGTGATAAATGAGCAAAAACAGACACTGGTCAGGACAAGCCACTTTATTTAAGAGCTTCGACAGTCTAAAGTGGTTTAACATAGATGCATGGAAGATTTATCTAGTTGATAAAATACCTGAACTTGAAAGGCACATAAATTATAATTTTGCAGGTTTCTTTCCTTTTAAGATTTCACATAGTCGAGTGCTTTAAGTAATAAACGAAACGCACATAAAGTTGACTTCATTTCACACAACCTGTCTGGTTAGTGTCTGCAGACAGCCATTGCTTCCGAATGGGACAGAGTTCAGAATCAACACCACCTATCCGTATCTGTGGCCTTCTGTTCCTCACCACAGTGAGATCATTGGGGGGATTCATAAATATGAACAGCAGCTATTACTGACCGGGCACGTACCATACCATGTGCTGTGCGCTAAGGACAGCATTCATATGCTTATATATGAGCATGATTTCATACTCATTAACAGCCCTATGAGTTAGGTACAATGATGTCTATTTCACAGACGCAAAAACTGAGCTTTAGAGAGTTTCTGTGACACATGCGAGGTCACACAGACACTTTTATCTGAATCCAAAGCTGTGGCGTTTACCACTAAGCTGCAACATAAATGAAAATACGTGGTCCTTAGCAAGTGCTCAAAAACACCAGTTCTCTTTCCCTGTCTCCATACTCCTTTCTTTTAACAGCACACTTAAACACAGGGATTCTTGCCTTCCAGACTTACAATTCATTCATTCATTCATTCATTCATTCATTCATTCATTCATTCTGGACTCAGTACTCTGCTGGGTACAGGACTTATATCATAGAACTGGACTCCATAGTTCCTAGACCAGTCTCAGGCAATTACCATATGAGGGCAGGGGCAGCCCCTCAAAGGACACCCACACTCAGCTGTGGGTTAGAGACACAGTGAGAACAAGGCAATATGAGATCTTCTTCAACGCTTGATATCCCCCCATGACTTCTGCTGTGTTTTCTCTGCCTGAGTCTTCAGGCTTTCTGACAATGTGGCTGTCCGGGAGGCCCTTTATCATACAGAACACCCCTTTTCTCCTGCCAGGCTGATGCTTTCCAGTAAAACCATTGCAACAGATAACTCAATTCCCCTGCTTATCACCCTGCACAGTCCTTCCCATCCAACCCCTCACCCCCACCTCTTGCCCTCTGCCTGCCTTGTTTCACCAATTTGGGGCCAGAATATGGAATAATAACGATAGCAGCAGCAGTAGTAGTAACTTCCTACAGGTCAAACACTGCTCTGTGTATTTTAGGTACATTAACTCCTTTAAATCCCCATAATAACCCCTGAGGTAGGCACTATTATTATTCCTACTTTAGTTCATTTAGGGCAAGAAGGAGTTAATATCTCTTCAGGGCAAACGATGTGCCAAGCTCTGTTGTTCAGCTTACACACTCAGACCAGGGTCAGTCACAGAGCTGGGAAGCAATGAAGATGAACGAACCCAGGTCTGCAAATGCCTAGCCTAGCGCTCTCCTTCTCTCCAAGTCAGGGACTGCCCTCTCTCCCCCACCCTCCAGCATCCTTGTGTTAGCATCTGTCCTCTGCTTTCTTACCACCACCCACAAACGGTGCCAGACTCCTCTCTCAACTGTGCCTCCCCCACTCTCTGGGCCCCCCAAGCCACCTTTCATGGAGCAAATCCTGAGTCTACACCAACAGTATAAACAGAGCCAAGGAAGAATTTGGATCATTCAAGCCAATCAAATACACCAAGCAGTTGATGGGTGTTTCCTGAAGCCCCAAACCTCCTAAATCCCTGGAGTTTCAATATCTGAGGGGCTCAGTGAGGGACCAGCAGGGTTGCTGTCTCTGGGGAGATTTCTGGCTAGTTTGAGAGGGTGACGCCACCAATACAAGGAAGGCAGTAATTGATGCTCAGTGGAGTCAGGTGAGCCTTATGTTCTCGGGGATTCATGGAGCTGGCAGTAACAGGTGAGCCGTTCCTGGGCAATGGCTACCTAGTCAGAAGCAGGGGTCTTTCCTGGGCCAGGCCAGAGGGTCAGACCCTCCCCCCCTCTCCCCACCCCAGGGTCCCAGAGCACCAAGCCCACCAGGCTGGAACTCAAAATACTTCGCCTGGCCTGCCCCAGATGAGTTCCAGGAGGGCAGGGCGCGTGTCTGATTTCCCTTTCAATCCTCAGAGGCAGTGTAAGGTGGGAGCCAGTTAAATGTTTCCAGAATGAATGACCAAACCAGTGTCATTTTAGAGAACAGGCTGTTGACAGACTACTCAGACAAGGAAACAGGACTCAAGGAGAGGATAGTGAGTTTGCTCAGAGGCAGGCATGTTGTTTAGTCCAGATCAGCATTCTGCTCCATCCAGCTTCACCTTTACTTCACTTACTACACACCTGAGAAACACTGTGAAGTCATTTACATTCAACATCTCAATGGTTGGTGGGTAGGCACAGTCCCATTTTACAGGAGAGGAAGTTAAGGAATTTGATGCCCCGCCCCCGCCCCCCAGCGCTCTGCAGGCCAGACACACTGACATTCCTTTCCTCAAACACACCACATTCTCTCCCAACAAAAATGTTTGCTCTGTTGGTTCTCCACCCTGGACTGGAATTCTTCCATTCTCTTACAGATGGGGACCACAGGTTAAATGCTCTCGCAGCACCCTGAACTTTCTATCCTCACAGCTCTTAGCCACAATTTTAACGTTTACATTTGTGTGCGGGACTTTTCCACTAGGCTGTGTGCTCCACGGAGGCATGCACCACGTTCGTTTGCCCACCACTGTATCCCCGGGACTTAGGCCAGTGGAGGGCACTCAGTGGATCTCGGTAAGAATTTGTGGGATACTTATTTGTATCTGTTACGTGCACAAGTGCTGAAGGTGGAATCCGAACTCACATCTGCCGCGCTCGGGTCGGAGCCACAGGAGTACTGGGGTTAGGCTGATAATACTGAAGCAAGAATGGGCGGCGCGCAACGGTAGAGGAGGCGTTCTGGGGTCGATCCGACCCGGGACCCGCTGCTGGGCTCCGCACCCCTCCGCCATCTGTCACGCCGGCGCCCAGGTTTTGGCGGGCGCCCGCTAGGGCAAAGGCGGGCTCATCAGGGTCGGCCCGGCTGCGCTTACCTGCGCGACACGGGGCTCCTCAGAGGCGCTCGGCGAGCCTTGGGGGACTTCCGGGGACTGGGACATCGGCCGCGCCGAAACGAGGCTCTCGGCCTGCGAGCGGCCCAGCACCCGAGAACCCGGCGGGCACAGCGCCTGGTCTGGGGACGCAAGGCCCTCTGCAGTGGGACAACCCCAAGGCCAGCGCGCCTCAACCCTGCGCTGGGGGGCGGGTCTAAAGCAAACTTGACCCTGCGCTCTCCTGGCTCCCCGGTGTAGGCGGAGTCACAGGGAAATTTAGCTCTGCGCCATGCCTCCTCACTGGGGGCGGGCCCTAAGGAGACTGGGCTCTACGCCCCGCCCACCAACCCCACCCCCATCCATGACTCACTGGCCCTTTTGTTAACGTGCGTGTTTGGTTTTTATTTTCCTGTGTTTTGTATTCCGTTTTATTTCTTATTTTATTTAATCTTACTTCATTTTTAACGATCAAATTAAAATATATATCAAAGTAAGTATGGACACTTTTTACAAAGTAAAATTTTCTAGATGTTCTTTATGAAAGCACAGGCCCCTCTCCTTTGCTCTCCACATACAGCTCTTTATATCAGTTCCTGCATTTAGTTCTTCTGGTGGTCACCTCTTGTCGCTAAAAAATGAGCTTACATAGCGATTTCTTGATTTATCTATTGACTTTCTGCCATGTTAGATGAGGATTTACTGTTTTACTGTGCCCCTGCCTCCCTTCTCCTGACAAATTTATACCTCTATTCTCAAGTCTTGCCCTGGTGAGCTCTGAGACCTCAAACCTAGAGTGGATAAAGGTTTGCTGGGACCTGAAGCTTATAAAATGGTGGGGAGAGGGGGGGAAAAAAAGGCTGTTTTAGAAAGCTTTATAGAATTAAGGCTTGCAAATGAGCATTTATTTAGAAGGAGAAAAGCAATCAGAACAAAATCCTGGGGTCTTGGAGATTCAGGTCCCTATCCCCTGAGATCTTAGGTAATTTATTTCCTGATTTTGCTTCCCCAATGTGGCCTGGCTTCCTCCGCCCAACCAGAACCCTCCATAAATCCCAACCTCCCCAGGGGCAGTGGGGTGAAAGTCAAGATTCATCAATATCTGCCATTCAGATTTCCTAATGGAGTGAATTCGAGTGTGCAAAAAAGAGAGACGTCAAGGGTGTTGTCAAGGATTTGTGATTGCTGCACACTTAATTCCCAGCTTTTCCTAGTAACAAATTCTTAGTATGGAGAGTATTTTTTATAAAGCTGGCTTTGGGCCCCTGCCGAGTCAGCAGACCCTCACAATGCTCCCATCAGTTTGGCTGGACAGGCACACTGTCACCAATTTTAGGAGGATCCCTACTTGTCACTCTTGTATCAGCACAGTGGGCACACAACTAGCATCCAATAAGTGCTCAGGTGAAGGGGTGGGTCTACTCTTTCCAACTCAGACTGAAGAAACAGTGTTCATGCCCTATCTGAAACCCCTTCTCTCTTTAGAGAGTTCAGTCCTCCCCCTTCATTTTGTCAACAAAAATTCTCTGTCGCTAATCTAATGTCAACTGGAATCCCCAATCTAGGGTACGAAAAAAGGAGAAGCTTCATTCAGGTGAACAGTTTACCACCCCAGGAAATGCAAACTTGGGTAGAAGCCGAAAGTGCATTCTGTCTAGACAAAGGGGAGGCCACTTTTTCTAGAGAAAGTTTCTGCCCTTGTTCCCAATTGGTCAATTTGTATGCAAATGTGGAGTCCAAATTTCCAGTCTGATTAATCCAAAAGGCACTGTCCTGATTGGTTAGTTTTGTGCATTCTGATTGGTTGTTATGGGCAACTCTGACTGGATGGGGCAGGAACTCCTTTATTAGGGTTGGCTCAGATGTCAGGAACACAGTGCAGGAGGCTGAAGGCTGTGTCTGTAGGATTTCCCTGAAATGCAGAGTATGTGAAAGGCCTCTGTCAGCAATGGCTGCTGGACTCTGGTTATGAATTTGGGCCCAGTTAACCATGAGGAGTCTTTCCTGGCAGATATATTCCTTCTTGAGGTCCATATTCTGCTCTGCCTTCCTTTTCTTCTGTTCATTCTTCTTCTCCTTTCCTTGTTCAGTTCTTGAGGATCAGGGACTTGAGAGTAACTCCAGCTTAGGGTGTGACATGTGCCTCCACTTTGGGCAAAGTCACTTTCCCTCTCCAAGCCTCATTGTCCTTTTCTGAAATTGGAGGTAACAGCCTCTACCTCTTGGGGAGGATTAAATGGCTTAATATCTATGTGTACAAAGATGATTTTTCTTTTCATTTTTTAACAACTCAGAAATTTTAAATATTGGTCAAATTTATTGCTCTTTTCTTTGTATTATTTCTTGATTGTGTATCATACTTTGGCCACCCCCACTCTGAGATTAGAAAAAAAAAATTCAAGAATACGGTAATTATCTTCGGATGTTCTCTTATTGGTAACTCAGTTTGTCTCCCAGCAGACTGAGAGCTTCATGAGATAAGTTAGGGACATCTAAGAATCTGTGTGTAGCATGTTGGTACCACAGGTTGTATTAAAATCAGGGGCTAACTCATTCTGAGTTTGGAGCGTGACCCAAGGAAGGAGAGGCTGGACAACAGAGGGTGAGATGGAGACTGGGCAATGACTTCCTCATGCAAGGGATGCTCCTTTTCCTGGAGAAGTGAAGACTAAGTAGGGCTTGGTCTAGGAGGAAGCCTGGCTTCCTGGGCATGAAGTAGTGTCTCCTAGTGGTGGGAGGTAAGAGCTTCACATAGTAGTCACCCTTCAGCTAATCTCAGTGGGGGAGTAGTAAGGGGTAGTGATTGAGAAATCTATTCTGGAGGGACAACTAGCTCCTAATATTTTAGAAGAGGGAATGTCTAGATGAGAGTGATGCCCTTTTCTTAAAGGCACAAAGGGCTACTGGATCATGGGTATAATGGGAATGATGTTTTTGGATCTTTCTTTTATTGGTAAGTTTCATTTCTCCTGAATTCTATCTGCCATTGTGTCTTCAGGAAGCAGCCAGGTAGTACCACCTCAAGAAGGAGGAGGATTTTACATAGAGGATGCCTCAGTTTGGGCCCCTCAGAAGCAGATCCTGAGACAAGGATTCAAATGCAAGTAGTTTATTTGGGAGTCCACTAAAGGATGCACTGCTCTGTTTATAGCACTCACTAGCTATCATCAACATATATTTTTATTCATTATTTGTCTTCCTCATTAAGTGTTAAGGTCCAAAAAGGGCTGAGTCTTTATGTATTCTGTTCCTTGATATATTCCCACACTTAGAACAGTGCCTGGCACTTAGTAGGTATTCAATAAATATTTGTTGAATGAATGAATTGAGCCAATAAAAAATATAAACAAAATCTGTAAATGTGCATTCAAAAATATTCCAGAATGAAGACTTTCAACTAATCAAGATTGGATTCCTCTCAAATTGGGAAGAACTGTTGGAGAACAGAGAGAAAAAATAAAATAAAACAAAGTGGTTGAGATGCATTAGATAATCTGGTTCATAATTACAGGTGAGTATTAGACTAAGAACGTCTACTCTTTTATATTTGACCCAATGTCTGTATTAAATATTTAAGCAAAGGTTAGCTTGAAAGGCTACATACTCATTTAAAAGTAGTAAGAAGAAAAAAGGTTCCCCTAGTAATTTTAATAATTCAGAATGGTGTTCTGTGGCTTCTGTTGGCATTTGAGGGCCCAAGATGGTAGCTGCTTACCTGAAAATAGAGGCCTTGATTAAATATTTAAGATCGCCCTTATTTTCATTTTCTGCATATTTTTTATTCCTGCTTCCCACATTTTTTTTACCCATCCTTCAGCTGCACAATTCGCACACTAATGTTAATGGAAATGTTTCATGGATTATTAAGTGCAGCTAAGCAATGAGCTTTTGCTAGAACATAAGGCCAAACTGGGGCTACTTTACTGTTCTAACAGCCATTTTTTTCTTGAAGGGACGGACTCTGAATTTACAGAGGCCTCTGCTTGTTATTCTGAAGTTTTGTAAGGCAGGTGCATGTCTGCTGCAGAAGAGACTTTAAAGTGGAAAACAAAGAGTCCCTAAAACAAGAACAGTTGAAATGATAGACTTGATAAGTGGACCCTTAATATTATGGCAAGAAGACACTACATAGTGCCTATTTGCTAATGAAAACATTGCACTCTGGTGCCATCAGCAGTAGAGTGGGTTTTGGTTAGCATCTGCATGGGCTTAATTGTCTAAGGAATGTTCCAGGAGCAGCACTCCAGTGCTGTGAATTATCTTTCCTAATGGAGCTTTTATATTCTACCCCTGTCGCTAAAACTGTAATCCAGGCTTTGACATTCACCTGGGCCCACTTGGTACAAAGAAGGCCTTCTGAAGGAGGTCAAAGTCATAATACATTGTTCACGATGAAAACCACTTGAGGCATAAGCTATCATTTTTCAACGAGTAGAGGGGACCCAAAGAGGTTAGATGGTTTTCTGAAGACCATATGCAGCTGGTCAGAGATGGGGCTGGAATATCAGTCAGGATTTTGTTGTTGTTGTTACAAGCAATTGAAACAGTCTCTGCTAACTGAGCAGAAGTGAGTTTATTGGTAAGACTGGGTCTTCAGAACTTACAGGAAGGTTGGAGATCCAGGTTTAGGAAGGGACAGGAAGAAAGCAGTTCTGAAAAGCTAGAAAGTGAACACCCTGGAAATGATCTCTGAGCAGAAATGTCTACTTCAGGGATAGATTATTAAATCCCAGCCACTTATTCTGTATTATTTAACTCATTCATGAGTCAAAGTCCTGGGGGAGATCCTCTGATTGGC